GCGCTTTCTCCTGGAACGGCTTGGCTGACTGAGCCGTGTGTGGGCATTTCAAGGCACCAGAGAACACAGATGAAGACAACAAACCTTCCTAAAACAGAACAGACTTGCTGACATTCTCCTGAAGGGAATCATTTCATAGCCAGATTGACGTTTTCTATGCAAAGAACATTTAACAAACTGAGTCCTACAGGAGAATTTATGCAGGGAGTAAAAAAGCAAATGAGTGAGACTGAGTAAATAACTTCAGACGTCAGCATGTCACCAGCTTTCCTTACAGCCCTGCGCTGCTGGCCCTGAGGGCTGGGCTTTCTGGACTGAATCCTGATCTTACTCCCTGCGGAGGGGCAAGGCCCTAGGCTTTTCAGAGAACTCTTGACCCTAGGCTACTGCTGTATTCACGGCCGCCCTCTGTATCTGGCATCAAAGCAGCCCTTGGCTCCAAGTAAAGCAGCCAGGTTGTCCCTCTCCCCTGCGGATGCCCAGCTCTGGTCACAGCCTGGGGAGTCCTCTGACCCACCTGTGGGCCTGTCCAGTGCATCCAGGATGTATTTAACTGGGAGGACTTTGCAGATGGCCCAGAGCTGGGACTCAGAGTTTTATTTGCTTAAGACTGTAAGCCAGTTACCTATCTATATCAGACAGCAGTGGGGAAGGGGTTATGAGGGCCCGAGTTCCTTCTAAATTCTGCCACCAAATGTATCTGCCCTAGCACCAAGGAAGGACCTTTTGGGACTCTTGAGTTCCAACTAATGCCTCCCCGCGGGTGCTGGGAACCCTGTCTACATCTGCCCTTGGCTGCTGAATCCTGAACTTCAGAAACTCTTGGCTGTGGCTGCAGCAGCTATGTGTATGCAGGCTGCTACCGTGGACAGCAATACCAGTTCCTTCAGAAATAACTACTTAAAATTTCTCCCTCTGCACACTTGCTTGTGGTGTTTCAGATGCTGGCTGCTCCATCTGTGGGGGCCCAGGGTGAGAAGACACAGAGCAGGGCTCCTGCCAACCCCCACATGCAACCCCGAAAAGCAAGATGACCTTTCTTTTTTTTTTGTCTTTTTCGTTTTTATCGGTACCAGGGATTGAACTCACGACTGCCTGTTTGCAAGGCAGGCGCTTATGCCGTTGAGCTAAATCCCCAGCCCCAAGATGACCTTTCTTGTAAGTACAGCACAACCCATCCCATCCTGGCCAGTGCAGTGAGGCATCTGGTTTGCTGTGCAATCGGCCCATTTATGTGATGCCAAAATCAAGTCATATGGCTTAACAGCTTTTGGTTTCCAGGAATACAGCCAGATCTACCCTCCAAGACCCTGCTCTCTTCATCTTGTTTTTGCTGGCCATAATGATGTTCTGCAGCCCTGAATCCAGGTCAGGTGGAAGACTCTCTCATCCCCTCTGCATGGGACTGAAAAGTCCATTTCTGCTATGTGCCCAGGTCCTCAGGGAGCACGAGGCATCAGAGCAGCTGAGCCTTAATCTTTTAATTTTTAGTGGAAACTTTCTGCACAGAGAGAGGCAGCTGCTTTGGTGATACAGGTAGAAAGTAAATTCACAGCTTCGGAGAAGCAAATCCATCAGAAGCCTCTGGGAAGGGTTGCAGGTGGGGGTAGCTGCTGGGGGAAGGGCCAGGCCTGCAGGAGATGGGCAAGAGCAGGGCTGGGCTCCTCTGAGGTGGATGCAGTAGAGACAGAGCCACAGAGTCAGAGGCAAGACGCTCATGCTGGCTGCTGGGAGCACGCAGGGCTGGTGAGAGGCAGGAGTAGAAAGAGCAGTGTTGTTAAACAGGGAGGATGGGGACGCCCCACAGGTCAGAGGTCACAGTGTGGGCCTACAAGTTTCTGGTGGCAAACTCTGCCTTCTCGGTGTATATACCAAGCACGCAGGTATCCTCTAAGGGTGGAAGACAAGATGATGTTAGGTGACAAGCAGTGAGTAAAAGGAGAGGCACACAAGTAGAGGGACAGAGAGGCAGGTGAGAGTGGGCGCAAGGCAGGGGAGCCACTCAGGAAGTCCTACCTGCCATCACACCCTTGATGACCTCCCGATCCTTCCTGCTGACAAGGAGGAGATGAGACAGAGGAGGGACAGCCCAGAACGTGGGCCTGAGGGGGCACCCAGCGCTCTCACTCGGGTTCCCTGACTTGGTTTCCTTACTTAGACTGCAGACAGCAACTGCTGTGCTATCAAGGAATCCTGCACACAGCATGCAGGCTGTGGCTGTGTCCTGCACTCCAGGCTAGTGGGGGACCCTCTGGCTAGTGACCCAGATGAGGTTGCACCCTGCTTGTGGGGAGAAGGTGGACAGGGTGTTTCACAGAGATTTGGGGTAATTTGGGAAAGAAGCTGTCCAGAACAGAGATCAGCACCAATGAGAGCAGTTTCAACCAGGTTAGTTTTTAAAAATAAGCCCAGGGCTAGGGGTATAGTTCAGTGGTAGACGGAGTGCTTATGTAGCATACGTGAGGCCCTGGGTTCAGTCTCCAGTACTACCACTGCCAGCACCCCCACAGTAAAAAGACAGAAAGACAAGAGAAACAAACAGACCCAACAAGGTTGCTTAATTCCTCGGTTTCCCCAGTCTGCCCCTGATGCTGGGTCGCCATCCTGCCAGTTCCCCTCCTGCTCTGGAGTCTGCTCTTCTCTGAGCCATTTGGCATCTTCTCCTCCCCAGCTCGCCTTTTAGGAGCTGGACTTTCCCCTGCCTTATCCCTCCTCTTTCAGTGGATCTCTCGTAAGACATCAGTTCCTTAGGCGACAGCCTACCCAGGTGCCTTCTGACCGTAAGCCCCTGTATCTACATCTTCCTCTACAACCCATCATTCCTTCCCTTCCTCCACACCAGCTTTTCCCAAGTACCCGCTGGGGTGTAGACCTCCTCCCTACCGGGCCTGCTTTCTCCAGCCCACATTCTGCCATTTTAGCCCCATGTTTCCCATGGCCACATCCAAGTTCAAGCCTTGTGTCTCCCACTGGAAACTGCATGAGTCTGCACCTGGCCACTCTTCTCTGTCACAACTGGCAGCTGGAACCATTCTAAACTGCACAGCAGAGCGCACTGCTCCCCAGGAAACCCTTCAGTGGCTCCACGGACCCCTCCTCTGTGCAAAGGTTGTAGCCTCAGCAAAGCCTGAGATTCAGGGACCACAGTGATGGCCTCTTCATCAGACTCTGGTCAGTCCTGTTGGTCCCCCATGTTTCCCTGGCCTGCCTCAGACAGACTGTTTCTGTCTTGGTGGCTGGTTGTTTCTGTGCATGTGTGGCATAAATTTGAAGTCTATACACCAGCAAAGACCAGCTCCTGTCACACAGATCTGACATTTTTAGACTTACCAAGCTGGGTACAGGTCTGAGAGGAGGAAATACAAGCTATGTCGTCAAAAGCTACGTCCAAGCAAAAGGAGCAGGGGCTGTGCCTGCTCGGAGTTGTCTCTGACCTTGCCCCCTGGCATCCTAGGGTTGGCAGGGAGGTACTCCCCACCCCCCTAGCTGTGTGGGTACCTGCTGCCTGACAATCGACAACCCTGCCCCCTGCTGACGCGCCCTGAATGGCTTCAGCAAGTCAGTTTATCACTGCCCACCTTTGGCTGCTCTCAACCTCAAACTCATCCCTCTCCCTCCCTCTTCTCACTCTCCACTGGGAAGGGGCACAGTCATGAGTCCCCGAGAGAGACTGGAAATAGGTGAAAGAAAGGCAGAAATAATGGATTTATCTTTCAGAGCCAGGGCACAGATGTGGCGCACACCCCTGCGGGGATAGTTCGACAGTGCACAACCAGCCAAAATGGGTACAGCTGGCTCCACTAAGGAAAACGGAGGCTCTGAGAAGTAAACAATAATACCTAAAAAGTGCCGCCAGGTGGCCCGACTCCAATTTCCCTTTCCTCTTTACCCTTCACACTAAGGCTGAATATAAAAGGCAAAGATATTTACAAATATGTGACTGAGCAATATTACTACCACCCCTTGCCTCCAAGACAATTCTTGGGGAACAGGCATATGGTCCGTACACTGTCTCCTTGCCCTTCCCCTCAATCCTCACGACACAAGATCTCTCTGCTCCTCTATTTTGGTCCCCTGGGCGAAGTACCTTTGTCCAAAACATTCAGTTTGTGACTGTTTGGGAAGGAAAGGGTTATTTTTTTCTTTTGGTACCTGGAATTGAACTCAGGACCTTGCACTTGCCAGGCAGGCACTGTGCCACTGAGCTACATCATGGACCTGGGACTGGGTTCTTGTAATGATCTTGCTGTTCTGGCTTCTGGTCTGATTTCTGTCAAGGAGTCACTGTGTTCCTATTTCTGTTTTTAGTCTCAAGAATGTCCGGTCATTTGAATTACCTTTTGCAAGGTGGGTTCAAGAAAATTAGTAAATTTGAAAGCTTCTGATACATATTGCCAAACTGTTTTCTACCAAGGTTTGTCCATTTAGTGATTTTTTTTTTTTTTGAGTCAGTGTCTATGTAGTTCAGACTGACCTTGAACTCAATATGTAGGCCAGGTTTGAGGGACCCTCCTGCTTCAGCCATCCTAGTGCTGGGATTACAGGCGTGTGCCCCACCATACCACGATAGGGATTGGTGAGAATGGCTGTCTCACAACATCCTCGCCAGCTCTGGGGAGTAGCACTGAACCTGTTTCTTGGGTGGTTTGGTGCGCAATGGTGTCTGGTTATATTTTCCAGGCTATTCACTTTATACCTTCACTGAGTTTGTGTGCCACTGCTCCCTCCTTTTCCTGTGCACTGTGCACACTCTCTGCAGATGTGGGATGCGGACCCACTCTTGGGCTGACACTGTGCTCCACAGGAGGGCGGCGCCCCTGCCCCAGAGTGCTGACCCCACAGCGGCAGATTCCAAACTTTATCACCAGGTAGCAGAACCGATTTCACACGGCTCTTTTTTTTATATATAAAAACATTAACAACCCTTGAGGGGAGCAATATTCCTACCACCGTCCCTACCCGCAGCCCCTCCCTGCCATTCCAAGAAGCTTTGTTCTTACCCGAGGAGGGACCACTTGGACTTTGTTGCTCTTCCTTCTGAAGAGGGGAGGTCGAGGCAGTCAGGACCTAAAAGGAAATGAGAAATTCACAAAGGTGACCGGAACAATCTCCGGAACTCAACCAGCAGCTGCCCGCAGCCCGAACAGGTGAGCCAGATACAAAGGCCAAGGAGCCACACCTGCCCTGGAGGCACTGCCACACCCTCCACTGTCGTCGGCAGGCCGGCGTGTGGGCCTGGCTGTCCCCGGGGATCCAGTGCAGCCGGATGGGGCCAGGCGGGCCCATGTGGAGACGCGGGAGAGGGCGGACTAGGGTGGGCCGGGCTCCGCGGGTGGAACGGACGAGCCCTCCGCGGACGGCCGGGGGAGAATTCGGAGCCCCAGCTGCCGGCCTGGGATTGAGCCGATAAGGTGCAGCCGGCACAAAGTGAGCGCGCCCCACGAGCTCTGAGTGATCTCCGCTCCCAACGATCTGGGAGAGGGGTGAGAGCTGAACCCAGGCTGGGGGTGGGGGGGAGGACCTCGTCTGCCGAGCCGGGGGCGGGCTGGCGGAGGAGGCTGCGTCTCAGGGGCGAACCTGAGGGATTTGGCAGCGCTAAGGTGGGGGCTGGCGGAGAGGAGGATCAGAGGGGACACCTCATGAACCTCCAAGAGGGACTTTGGAGGTGACTGTTGAGAGGGCACGCTTATGAGCGGAGGTCTTAGGACGCGATGCCACAGTCTCTTGCACTCCTTGACCCAACCTAGGGATCCCAGCCCTGCACCCTAGAGACGCTGCCTAACACACTTGGGCCCCAGTCCCTGCAATAGGCCCCGCCCCGCAGCCCGCAGCTCCACCGCCCCGGCTCAGGTGCTGGCCCCGCCCCCGACCCCAGCCGGGGCCGTCCTCAGGCCACGCCCCCTGGCCTCGGGGCCCTCCGGGTTCTTTAGTCCCGCCCCCAACTCGCCGACCTAGTCGCGTAGAAATCAGTGTCGCTTTCTAATTCAGCCCGTCTTGCCCAGCCCTGGCGGCTCTCCTGTGCCTTCCTCTTCTCGAGCAAGTTCCACAGCCCGACACAAAAGTCTTTTACTACCGCATATCCCGCGTAAGGTAGCACACTCGACTTTTCTGTTCAGCTATTTTGCAAATCACCCCAATTAAATATTTGAAAACAGTCTAAAACTCGAGTCCCAATCTTTTCTCTGTTCCCTGGCCACAAGATACTGCAGAAGCACTGGCAGCCTGTCTCCTCTCACAGCAACAGTTTGCTCCCTTCTGAGTAGGAATCCACACAGAGAAGGTCTGGGCTCCTGTGACCAAATGGCTGGCCGTCCTGGGTGAGCTACTCAACCTCTGAACCCCCAAACCCCCACTCCAGAACACCGGGGTCCGTCTCTTGGATGACCGCGGTTAGCATCCAAAGAGCGTTGGTACTTGGTGTTCTCAGATCACAGTGAGAAGGAAGCCACAGCCTATAGGCCCATGCAATATTCCAGATGACCTAGTGGCCCTAGTTTGCGTGGAGACACCCTAGCTTTTTCCCTCTGAGCTCAGTACCTGGCAAGCATCCGAAACCGAAAACCGAAACCGTAGCCCAAGGAGTCCAGCCTGCTGGGAAGTCACAGGGTGGCCTGTTGTGCTGGCTTCCAGGGGAGGTCCTACCCATGTCCCTAGGAATCTAGCCTCATCCTCAGTAGGTGGATGACCCGAGTGCATGTCTGCTTCTCCCTCTCTTCTGGGCTGTAATGACCCTAGCAAGGCTGTGGAAGTGGTCATAGGAGGCAGTCTCTCTCTCTCTCTCTCTCTCTCTCTCTCTCTCTCTCTCTCTCTCTCACACACACACACACACACACACACACACACACACACACGCTCCCCAGTCCCCACTGTCCTCTCCAGCTCAGAGTGGAGCTCACTCCTCATCTCAGAAGTTTATCAAGCAGTTTTTGGCCTAACAATTCCCCAACTTCCCCACCAGCTGCACAGCTCCCCCACCCACTTTAAAACTCTTGGGAGAAATCCCCAGCTTGCATTTTCAAAACAAATAACAGGAACTGACTAATTAGAAAGGGGTTCCTGAAGGGAAATGGAATCTCCCATACCTTGACATTATAGGTCCTTTTCTTTTCTCATGTCAGATCATTGAAGTTCTCAGCCAGACCTTGTTTTGAAATATGCACTCCCTTGTCCTTTCACAAACTACAACCTTTTTCCATTTTTGAAAATAAGATCACATCAAGTCAGAGATTAGAAATAGGAAAAACCCAATCAGAGCCTCCCTCTGCCGGCTACACATCTCAGTATACTTCTAGGCAAGCAGAACCAGCTCCTGCCACAACTCTGCTCTGCAGCACTGTTCAGAACGCACCAGTGGGAAGTGGTGAAATAGAAGGACCTTTCATTCCGGGTGAGCTGAGCCTCCTGTGCTGCTCTCCTGGCTCCGGAAGCTGTCTGTGCTCTGGCTGAGTCGGGGCCTCTGACTTAAATAGGCGATGAGAGTGGGGCAGGGTGGACCTGGGGGGGGGGGAGCATGGAAAGTGGGCTGTTTATCCAGTACAGCAAAGCAGTGTCTGCAGAGCCAGCAGCAGTGGTCCTCAGCATGAGCCTGTGTGCCTGCCTGTCCACCAGGAGGCCTCAAGCCCACAGGCCCCTAGACCGCAGACAGACACCTTGAGTGACCCCAATGGACGTGCAGTGCCAAGCGAGCCTGTGTCCCTGAGCATACTGAGTGCTGTCAGGTTCCTGAATACTTACTCTTCTTTTGGGTAAAACCAGTCAGCCTTGAATAGACCTTCCCAGAACCAGGAGTAGCTCAGGCAGAACACCGTTCCAAGCCTCAGTTTCTACTTTCTTATTGTGAGGATAATAGTGACTTCACAGACATAGAAATAACGTTTCCAAAGGGTCTGGCAGCCCGGGGGCTGGTTTATTTATCCATAAGGTCATACCGAAGCCAGATATCTTCAGAGCCGCTCAAGGCCAGAGAGGTTGGTGATGTCCCCAAAGTAGCACAGGCCTCTAGCTAAATGTCAGGGTCAGATTTCATGTAGATCTAAGTTTTCCCTGCCTCATGCTACAAATGAAGTTTGGGGTGAGTGGGGAGGAGCTTCTGACTAGGAAAGAGTCACCCTTAGGTCCTTAACACCAAGGGAAGGAGGAAGAAGGGCTGGATGGACATCCCAGGGGCCTGCATTTGGTTGAGACCTTGGCTGGGGTGTGTGGGGTGTGCAGAAGTATCCCAGAGTTACAGGTGGGGATGGCCGGTGAGATGAGCTTCTCTCTCAGACTTCGAAGTTCTCCCAGGAGCGCTGTGGGGAACTGAGTGTCTCAATTGGTTGATTCAACTTAATTTTCCTATGAGTGGGGCAGCAACCTGTGTCCCCTCCCTCCTGCCAGTGAACAGAGGTTAGGATGTCAGCTAGAAGGCAATTAAGACAAAGCAGTAGTTCATTTTCCATTTATACCCTTAAAAGTATATATAAAGCTAATAAATAATTGGAGTCACATGTAAGAATCTGTCCTTAGTAGGAAAAGTATACATTTTGACTTTAACAAAATGTTAACTCATTTCCCCCAAAGAGGTAGTAAACAGAGGGCCTGAATCTCTCTAGTTGGAATCAGAAAGGAAATGAACTTTGCCTTAAGTTCTGATAAAGGAGAAGCTGAGGTTATGATTACTATGGGCTGGATCAATCTGTCAGTCATTAACTGTCATGTATCTTATGGGCCTGGGACCCTTTTAGGTGTTTGGACTGCAATGGCAGGAGACGCATGAAAAGAACAGGTTCTTACAAGCCCAGTCTAGGTTCAAATCAGGTTCTGAGCAATACTGGGTTTCATTTAGCCTCTCTGTTATTCTATTTTTTTTTTTTTTTTTTGTCTTTTTCCTTTTTATCGGTACCAGGGATTGAACTCACAACTGCCTGCTTGCAAGGCAGGCGCTTATGCCGCTGAGCTAAATCCCCAGCCCTTCATTTCACCTCTCTGAGCCTTCCTTGGGTTTCTGCCACTTGACAGGGCTGGTGAGAGAATGAGATGAGATGGTGCTGGTGAAAACCCTCAGGGGGCATTCAGCTGTCCATTTTGGAAAGATAATTCTACAAGGATCATGGGGTGAGCAGGAGGGGAGACAAGCCTGTGCCTTGGCTGAAGCAGAGAGCAGGGCCAAAAGAGTAAAAAGAGAGAGGACATCATTTCGGGGAGAGATAGAATGTTTGGGTCTCTCCTCCCAAATTCATATATTGAATCCCTAACCATGTCTGTATTTGAAGACAGGTCTTCTAAGGAAGTAATTAAGGTTAAATGTAGTAATAATGGTGGGATCTGATTGATAAATTTAGTGTCCCTCTAAGAAGAGACACCAGAGAGCAGGCTGCTTGAGGAATTAGAGATCACAGAAAGAGAATCTTCACCAGAAACTGAATGAGCTATAACCCTGACCTCACACTTCCAGCCTCTAGGACTGAAAGAAAATGCATTTTGGCTGTTTAAACTGCCCAGTCTGTGATATTTTGTTATGGCAGTGGAAGCAGATTAATACATATGGTGGGGACCAAGGGCTTGTTGGGTAGCATCAGAGGACAGGGGTCTCCAGTTCAGACAACAACTGAACTGTCTGAATTGGGATGGGTGTTGTGTGACGTTTGCATAGATATGTCTGGCAGGTAGTGGGATTCAGGGTTGAGATCTGGGCTAGAGCAGAATTTGGGGATTGTTATAGTGTAAATGAAGTTTTGGGAAAGACACTTTGTCAGATCACTTATTCTTTCTTTTCCAGTTGGCCCATTCTAATTCTAATTTTTGTTATATAAGACAGTTTTTGTCTTTCATATTGTAAAAATTTATAGGTTTTTTTTTGTTTTGTTTTTTGAGACAGGGTTTCACTATGTAGTCCAGGCTGGCCTTGGACTTGCAGTGATCCTCTTGCTTCAGCTCCCCAAGTGCTGGGATTACGCTGTGCACCAGTACTCCACTCCTGGCTTATTTTTGTACAAATTCAAACATCCACCTTTGCTTTTGAACAGTATAGTTGCACACAAATTTGTCTATGACTTTGTTTTTTTCTACTTGGACAGACCACGTCTTAGGAACATTACTGACCCTGACTTAGAAGTTACATTGTACATTTTTTCTTGAGGCTCATTTTGTCTTTAATATCATTTCTCTAGTCACTCTTATCAAGTTTTAAAAGTGCATATCTATCTCCAAGTTTCAGACGTGCTTGTTGGATAACCTATAGTTCAAAATTTTAATCAGCAAATGCGTATTTCTTTTCCTTTCTTTGAAAGGTACTCTGTATTCTTTAGCTCTAGGCTGAGGTGTTTTTTCATTGCTGGAAACTTGCATTCTTTCTTTCTGAGTGTGACCCTCAGTGTGTGCCTCGGCCACACATCCCTTGTATGCTCATCTGAAGGCTGTGACACATTCCCTTCTCCAAGTCAGGCATTTGCTCCTCTGTTTCCTTTGTCTACGTTTTCAGTTTGATGTCTCACAACATTTGTCCTGTTGTTTCAGCTTTGCATCGGACTCCTTCCAGGTGTTTCTCAATTCTTTTTTCATTTTCATCATGAAACTACAGACACTTTTTTTCTTATTTGTTTTTGTTTGGAGCCATTTATTTCTTTCAAAGTAGCTGTCATGCATTTCATCCTATTTGTTCATAAGACTCTTCAGAATCTATTATTTAAAAACCAAATAAATCAGTGTCTTAAAATTTCCTGCTAGTTCCTTTCCAACTTTAGTTCAGAATTCAGAATTCTTCAGTTAGAATCTCTTTGGGCAGTTTCTCACTAATTCATTTATTCTATCTTGTTCCAAAAAAGAATTAAAATGATTTCAACTGTATTTTATGTACAATGAGACTTAAAAAAAAAAAAGCAGTAAGGAAATTATTGCTACTGGAAAATAAAGATAGGAAAAAACCAGAGGCCGCGGGCAGAGCTCGAGACAGGAGGAAAGCTGAGCCAAGAAACTCTTTAGTATGACCGTAGCTGCAGGTGGGCACCGAGGGGCCGCGTCTTATGACTGGGGCTTGTCCTATTGATCTTGTTGGCAGTGCTGAAATGGCTCTGTTTTAAGTTTCTGCTTGAATGGTGTAGGGGCTGTGACTCACCCTGCCAGTCCCCGGGGTGGG